GGTCTGTGATGGGTCTCTAGAGTTCTCTGTCACGGTCTGTGATGGGTCTCTAGAGTTCTCTGTCACGGTCTGTGATGGGTTCGGAGGTTCTCTGTCACGGTCTGTGATGGGTATGAAATTTCTCTGTCACGGTCTGGGGGGGGGGGGGGAGTGGGTCCAAATTTCTACCCCTAAACACTTCCACACTCTTTTAGATCGTGTTTCACAAAAAGACAAACAAGGAATCATTTGATTTAATCATAGAAAGTAAAATCTCATAGACTAAAGTTTTTGCATGTACCATATAATTAGAATGCAAGAGCACATTAAGTATATTTTCAAAAAAAATAATGTTCAAGGCTTATTGAAACTTTATAATAGTTTTCACTTCCGAAAACATAAACAACCTTTAGATGAGAATGGAAAAGAAAAATTCTAAAGAGATTTCTCATTGAGTTTTGACATGATTATTCGATAGGAAAAGTTAGGTTCTTTCGATCTATGCAAAGCCGATGTTTCTATCTTATTTCTTTCGAAAGTTATAAGAGTTTTCCTGAGACACCCGATTTTGGCTAATTGTCATTGGATAACCGAAGAATAGATCTGAAGAGGGGTGTCGATTGGGGATATTTATTTTCAGTCGCAAAATAATTTGAAATCACTATATTGAAATTTACACATTTCAAATTTTTCTGCTATGTATCGTAAAAAGGCGACATTTCAGAAATCTCGGTACAGTGGTTTCAAATTACCTTGCAACTGAAAATAAATATGACCATTCGACTCAGCATGGTCAATTACTCCTCACCAGACTTATTCTTCGGTTGTCCAATGACAATTAGTCAAAATCGTGGGTCTCAGGAAAACCCTTATAACTTTCGGTTGTAACCCTCTTCACCGAAAAGCATTTCGTCGAAAGACTCATAGGATGCTTTAGCCTGTTGCGTGCCCTTTAATTCTTATATAAGCTTGTTCAGCATGAAGAGGTCAACTCATTTTGCCCTCACCTTCACCTTTGGAGTGCCCTCTGTAGCCGAAAAGGACCTTCGCCGAAGAGCATATATACCGCCTATTCGATACTCACCAAACTAGCGTTACATTTGGAAAAGCCATATATATATATATATCATTTTAATGGAAATAAACGTCTCTTTACTCAAGATTATATATAGTTTTTTTTAAAAATTTTGGTGTTGGTATCTATCGTGTTAATTATCCTCAATCGATGCTTGATGCTTTAATACCAGGTATACAAGATCATACACTTTCTCCTCAAGATCGTTTTGGTATTCAAACAGATGTTTATGCATTAGCACGTTCTGGTCATATTAATTATGTTGATTATTTAAGATTACTTCGTCATGCATATAAACATGAAGATAATTTAACTGTTTGGAAATCTATATTAAAACAATTAACTGATCTTAATTCAATAATCGATTATGCTCATATTGATAATATAAAAAAATATTTTCAAACATATATATGTGATCTTTTATCAAATATTTATAATAAATTAGAATGGGATCCATTACCAAATGAAGGTTTACAAGCAGCTATGCTTCGCGATATAATATTAATACAAATGGGTATTAATGGACATAATAAAACACGTGAAGAAGCACATAAACGTTTTCAAATATTATTAAACAGTAATAATCAAAATCATCATTCAATTAATCCAAATATTCGTGCAGGAATTTATTTAACTGTTGCTAAAACAGGAAATCAAGAAATATTCGAACAACTTAAATCGGTAATATATCTAAATTTTTAAACATTTAGAACTCTCTATTTAATCAAGACTTCTTTTTTATGCAAAGATATTTGTATTAGAAGTTATGTTGACATTCAACGTTAAAAATATTTCTATGAAGTTTTATTTAAGTTTTTTATCATTTAATTAAGAATAGAAAAAAAAGTTCAAACTTTTTCTAAGAGTTCTTTTGAGTCTCATCGAATCCTTCCCATAAGTGAAATCTCTTACGAAACAGAACCACAGTTCATAATATTCCCAACACATGCACATATTATAATTTGAACGAAAAGAAACTTATCAAATGAAACCATAAATAAATTTATTGTATTTTTAGCTTTATCGTAAAGCTGATACACAAGAAGAAAGTATTCGTTTATTAACTGCACTTTGTCGTTTTGATGATGAAATGATTCAACGTCAAGCTCTTGAATATATTTGGAATAGAGTATAAAGATATTTTTTTTTCCTTATCTATTTGAAATATCTAGATAAATTTTTTCTTTTTTATAGAATGAAGTTCGAAAACAAGATCATTTAAAGGCATTTGTTTCATTAGCATCACATAATCGTAAAGGTTGTGAAATAACATGGAAATATATGCAAGATAATTGGAATAAAATTGAAGATATTTATGGTGAACATGATACACATTTAATTCATTTTGTTGAAGTAATAGAAAAAAAAAAAGATAATTTTTTAATAAATATGAAATTAATTTGAATATTATTTTAGCATGTACCAAGTCATTTTGTTACTGAAGAACGTGCAGAAGAAGTTCGAGTAAGTTTTTTTTTCTTTTTCAAAAGAAAAATTATACATTTAATTTCTTTTTTTTTTTGTTTTAGAAATTTCATATTGATCATCCAAATCCATTATTAGATAGACCAGTTAAAAAAGTTCTCGAACAAATCAATATTCGACGACTTGTTCTTGAACGTCATGAACATACTATTCATCAATTTCTTATTACTTAATAGAACTATATTTTTTTTATTCCTGCTTTTTTATAAATCATTTTTTGGTTTTATCTGTTATTTCTTTCTTCATTTAGATTAAAAAATAAAAAACAATATGAAGATATAATAATCCAGTAAACAAACATATTTTAAATACAAGTTATAATTCTAGATCAAATGTTAAAAGAATAGTCTGTATGGAATATGATAAGAACTGAATTGATTTTTTCTTTGTTCCAAAAATAAAAGCGAATTGTAAACTTTGTTTCATAACGTTTAATAGGATGTAGACAATGTCAAATGAAATCTACAAGTTTTTAGTTATATAAAAAATCTGATAAAAATTACTTGAATAATATAAAGTTGTTTATCGGCTTTCTGAAATCATTACTTGACCTTAACTAACATCAAAATAGTCTAAAAGGAGAACATTGTTTATTGGTCAATGTCAATATTAGTGAAACTTCATTAGAATCTTTACTGTGCAATACTTTTGAACAATAATTCACCAATTTCCATACAAGTAAAGCGATCGAAGTTTACCAATTCCTTTTAATTACAATAAACTCGAAAGCTAAGATGCAACGATCAATCATAATTTTGAATCAATGCCAAAGATCACCGATCTCTCGAAGGACTTGAAAAGCAGATTGTGACAACATGATTACAACTGTCAAAATGAATACTGAACGCGTGTGAGATAACAATATGTTGAACTCGAGTATTTGAGAAGTAAAATGCATCAAACACAAACACACTCCTATACATAAGATGAAATCTAGAAATCAGAATTTTTTTTGCCTCTTTTATAGTCAATTAATATATTCGTTTATTTTCGAATCATTATAAAAGATAAGAATACACTTTTGTCGATCTTATTATGAAGATCATAATGGTACATGTCCTATGAATGTAATTAATCATTCTATGTGTTTTTATGATGCTGTTTCTTTAAAAATAATAATAATCCATCCTAGTCTTGTTTCTTGGATCTTCAAGTATTTAGAACCAAAACGGGTATAAGAAGGTTGATAGTTGCGTGCATTACCAATTTCAACAATCCAACTTTTTCCATGAGTTTCATCAAGCCAATTTTTAATATCTTTAGCTATGTTCCGGATTTGTGAGGTTCCATGTGTATCAATTGCTGTACTGATCATGTTCAATATATCTACTCTCATTGCATCTGTAATTCCATTTCCTTGTTCTTCGATTTCCCATCTAGTCACCTTGATCGATTTTGAATTAAATTTATCTAGAATAATAACTCGATTTCTATTACTTAATTGTATTCTTGAAAATAAACACAAAAAAAAGAGATCAACAGGCAAGATTATTCATATGATATCGAAAATTAAATTTTCGATGTCATATTAATTGGTAAAGCGCTTTCGAGTGACATAATTGTCCTTTAAAATAATGGGAAATTTCTGTTTTTTTTTGTCATTGAGATGGTTAAAAGTCGTTTTAAACGTGATTCTGAGCTCGCTCGATATAGAATACATTTTAATGATGTGCTCCTTATAGAGTGAAACAGATCAGTTGTGTTTCAAGTTTTAGTCTCATAAGAATTACTCTGAAAGTTTTTCCTAACAAATCTTGTGAATCCAAAATGCACAAGTTCATCACTTACTGAATGGTGCATCTATGTTTTCCTATTTCATGCAGACAAGTATCGATTTTCTCAAGCCTGTTCTAATCCAGAGTGATATAGAAAGAAAGTTATTTATCATCAATCGATAGAAATTTCTGTACTCTGTACTTCCACAGTCTTTTCAAGGTTGCTGATGTTCTTGTTCAGGAGAAGAAGGCTTCAACCTAAAAGCTGGTGCTGTTTGACAATTTAATGTTTTCGAAAGTGAGAATTATCATATGAAATGTTGATTCTCATTCCATTGAATGCAGAATGTTCTCTTCGAACTGCTCATTAGGTCTGAAGATCGTCATATCATAGAAGACTACCCCAATTTTGGAGTATATTTTTACCGACTGGTCTTTTTTCATTCTTTTTTATTCTTTATGTTGTAGAACTCATTATAAAAATAGTGAATGTCAGTTTATATTCGAAAATTTTCTGCTCCTCTCATCTTAAAGCTCGCTCCCTCGCAAACAACGATGATTTTTAATGCACAGCATGAAGTGCAAACAGCCAAAGTTTTCTAGAGATCTTGTCTTTTACAATATCGCATTTTCGTTACCTATGACTATGATGCTCGATTGTTTCTTTTTGTCTCTATAGTATAAAATCTGTCAAATGACACTGCTTTTCTTCTAATTTCTACATGAAATGAGTAATTGGATTTGTTCGACAAAGAAAACAAGATATTTGTTCGAAAAGCTTGACCTGATTTCAAAAGTTGTCACGTATTTGATCCTGGCAATTATCATTTTCTCTAACCTTATTGGGATCGATGTAGATTTCTGCAGTAAAAACTGATACTTTCAATGTAAGCAGTGTAATTTGAGCTCGAGAGTCATCATTCAAGCTACATCTATGAGAAAATCGATTCATAAATTTAAGACAAAAAATGTTTTTTTTCCATTGAAAGTCCAAATATATATCTTTTTAGTTTTATCCAACCATCGAAGACTGATATTTTCTATATAATATACATATTCTGAAGTAACTAGTATTCTTTGTGCTAAAAGACTCCACCAAAATCTAAAAAATCGATTTTTGTCGTTTCTAAATGTAGCGATTGCATCTAAATTCTCCATAGCTCCGGTATTCGCTTAAAAATTAGTCTATTACTATACTTGAGATAGAAATGTTAAAACGTTCACTTCAGTATTCATTTATGTCTTCCCAAAAGACTCTCAATCTTGACACTATTCATCTTATCAGTTTTCATTGTAAGTTCTCGTGAATTGAACCTAGAGGAGGCAGTTGAAGCACTCTTGTACTCATCATTTCTTATGAGTAGCATATTAAAAATTCTATTAGCCCAAATTTTACACAATATATTCTAGAAGAAGAGAATTCAA